CAAACGTTAATCTCCATAACAATTATAAAATAATTTACACAACAGAAGATGAAGAATCTCCTGAAAAAAAAAAAGAAAAACCGGAAAGTGAAGGAACAAATGATACAGAAAAGAAACCTAAAAGCAAACAAATGATTAAAGTTGGAGCAGAATATATAAAACGTGTCGAGGTTCAGTTCTGTGAATTATGTAAGCTATATCTACCACGTAGTGAAAATAGTGAAAGAGCAATAGCACTTCATTGTTCAACCAGAAGTCATCTTAAACGGTATAAATTTAAAACGATTTTATGAATTTATTTTTATTTCTTATATGTAAATGTTGATATAATTTTAATATATCATAGATATGTGCGCGATAATGATGATAAAGCATTGCGAAGGCAAGCAGAAAGAATACATCTGCAATCATCGTCATCTACCAATAATACTTCTACACCAAATGCTGCAAATAATACAGAAAATGCTAAATCTCCAACTAATTCTGAAGCACCGTCTACAAATAACACATTGCCAGTAACTACAACTGATGGCACTAATACTGCTGAATCTAGTAAAGCAATTGAGCAAAAAGGAACTGTCGAATCTGAAAAAAATATAAAAGATAACAAAAATGGACAAGCGGAAGAAGAAGATGATGATGATTACCCAGGCGATAGTAGCGATAAGTTGTGGGATGATGTCGATAAAGACTTGGGCGATATTTTAAGAGAAACAGAAGCAGGAGGTAAATCAAGTGATGATGAAGATTCTCGTTATGATCGTTTCCGTAATTCAGATAAGAAACAACAACATTCTGGCAAGGATAAAGAAAGGGATAGCGAAAAGAATGAAATAGATGAAAAAGAAAATATAAAAAAGCAAGAAGTGAAAGTAAAAATTGAAAAAATAGATATGTAAAGTCCAAGAATTATTAGTACGTTTCAACCATATCCTAATGTGATTTTATTATTTTTCTACAAAAATTTGTAAAACTTTAAAAACCATAGGAAACACAATATCAGAATTTCATACAAAGCAATTATTTTTTATAAAGTTAAATAGTTATTTTCAATCAAGTTGACAAAACTCTATGTACAATACTATATTTGTTTTCTATAAGTTTGTTGTAAAAATGTTGTAAAAATGCGTAATTTAAACATTATTTGTTTCATATAAAATTGTGAGTATGAAACTGTGTTTAGATTTTTATTTACTAAATACTGGACATGCTTGAAATGTACACACTGATATAAACTTCATAATGTTCAATTCCTTTGTAATTCAAATAGTCACTATGTACGCACATTCAGTGACAATGTTGACAAGAACTGTAAAGGAAATTATTCATATAAGCATGTTAAGTATAGTTATGTAAAAGTAGCGGTTATTTGTGCATTGAAAATTTGATGGAATCTACAAAAAAACAATAAAAATATCTAATTAATTTCTAATTATTAATGTAAATGAATATATAACAAAATCGATAAACTTGTCACTTTTAGATAAGTGTAATAAATATTATATACATCTTAATACTATGATTTGTGTTTATCTTGTAATTTAATAGAATGAACAAATTTTTCAATAATTAAGATTTATTGAATGAATTTTTGTTTATGTATTATATTTTCAAAATATTTTATAAATATAACCACAGACTAGATAAGATATTGAGATTTTGTGTTTTGAAATACTGACAAAAATCATAATGTTTAATGTATAATTTCTACATTTTATGTGGTGAGTACAAAAATTATAATTAATTTAATTATAAAAATCAATTTTCATCAATTCATTGCATTATTATAGATTTTTAATATTTATATAATTATACATTTATTATATTTTATTATTTATATTAAACATACTATTAAAGTTAAATTTATTTATATATATTGCTAATATATAATTGTAAATGTAATTATTTATGCAATATAAACAAAAAAATACATAATGATTTAAGATTTTTAATCAATAGGTTAAATTAGAAGACAATAATGTTAATTAAAACATTTTCTTCATAAATTTTATAGAGAATGTAGATAAGAACAACAAATAGTAAAATAGAATAAATAAAATAAGAATTCAAGATAAGCATCATCTCTTGAATACTTTGAAACAATATCTTTAATATTCAATATTTAGATGGCATTGACTATCAATTCTTATTTATTATTTATTATTACTCTCCTCTTATTATTTGCTCAATCTTGTTTATATTAGTTTTATCTATGACACTTTAGAAATGGAATCGAATCTGACCAAATAGTAAGAGAAGAATATAACAGCAACAATGTAATCCATAAAATAAAGCATTTTTAAGCATTTATTATTTTCGATTTTATGCATTATTAAACATAATGATTTAAGATTTTTAAACACTAAAATACAATTTTTGATTTGCTAAATTCTATATGACGTCATTCAAATAATCAAAATTTGAAATATTTTGTGATTTTAATAAGTCTCTAAAGTTATTTCTAACAATATCTTACGTACGTAGTCGTTATATGACATCTTATCTCCTACTATTTTCAATATAGAAATCGTGTGACATCTCTGAATATCAAATATCGTAAAGTTTATTCTATATCTATCTGTATACATAATCTAAATTCATGTAATACATAAGTCAATGATCAGCTGTTCAATTATGTCATTCATATTTTTTGCATTTGATTGCCTATTGATCAACATGGTGCTGAAGTACAGTATAATCAGTTAATATGTTTTAGATGAATAAATATTTTTAAATAATTTTTATAACAATTAATAATTAACAGTGAGCTTCTACATGAAACGTGTAGCATAAAATTATATCAAAGTTATATAATATCATATACATTGGCACAAATTTTACAAAAGGAATAGTGTGTGAGGAAGAGGTTAGATTTACATGTTCATTTGACAGCATATGAAGGTGAGATCTGATACCAAATTAAGGTCATAAATAAAGCAAAAACTAATTATAAATTATAATATATATATATATATATGTATATATATATATATACATACATATATATATAAACGTATAAAAAGACATTATTCTTAAAGGATATTTCTGTAATCTTGAATTGTGGAAGATGCGATGCGTATAAAATTCTACACAAGGTTAGATCATATTTGATGTTAGATTTTAATTTTGTGTCAAACTTGTGTATGAATAATATAAATTAAAAATTATAATAACAATAAAAAAAAATTTACACAGAAATAAATTAAATATAATGTTAATCAAATAGTATTTTTACATTTAAAATATTTATAATATCATTAAAAATAGATAATATAAACAATAAAAGATTATTAAATTATTTATATTGCATAAATAAATCATTGATTAAAATTTTATTATAAAATGAATTTATATTATTTGAAATGAATAATAATATATTTTAAATAATATTAGAATTTTCAGAAAAATAATGGGTCAAACACTTAGTGAACCTGTGACAGCTAAAAATTTAGCATGCTGTAGAAATTCAAATTATCGAGTTGGAAGTTCTTGTATGCAAGGTTGGCGTATCAAAATGGAAGATTGCCATGTACATATACTATCATTACCTGATGATCCTGGTACTGCATTTTTTGCAGTATATGATGGTCATGGAGGTAAGAATAAAATAAGAATAAAATTTTTAAAGCAAAAGTATAATTAAATTGTTTAAAATTATCTAAAAAAAAAAAAAACAATTAAATGTTGATCAATGTAAAACATGCTGAAAATATATTTATATTATTAATTAATTATATTAAAAAAAGAATTTTAAAAGAAAATTTCAAATTTCTGTAGCTATTATAAGTAAAATTAATAAATAAATCTAAATATAATTTCTTCTATATTTAAAGAAATGATAAATAATATTAATAGGTGCAGCAATGGCACAATATGCTGGAAAACATCTTCATGAGTATATAACTAAAAGAAGTGAATATAAAGCAGGTAATATTATTCAAGCAATACAACAGGGTTTCTTGGAATTAGATAGAGCAATGCAAAATGATGCAGCACTTAAAGATGAACAAGCAGGAACTACTGTTATAGCACTTCTTATAAAGGATAATGTTATATATAGTGTAAGTTCCTTTTTAGTTAACTATTTTTTTGTTATTGCTATTATTATTTTATAAGACTATTATAGGCAAATGCAGGTGATAGTAGAGCAGTGGCAAGTATAAATGGCAATGCTATTCCACTTAGTCGTGATCATAAACCTACATTGAAGGATGAACGTGAAAGAATTGAGGCTGCTGGTGGTTGGGTTGAATTTAATAGAGTTAATGGTCAGCTAGCATTAACTCGTGCTCTTGGTGATTTTATGTTTAAACGAAATGAACGTAAATCTCCACAAGAACAAATCGTTACTGGTAATCTTAAATTTCTAATAAAAAATTATATATTAAAATTATGCTAAATTTTTGTAATTACAGCTTTTCCTGAAGTTCAAGCCTTTCAAATAACAGAAGATTGGGAATTTGTTGTTTTGGCATGTGATGGTATTTGGGATGTAATGACAAGCAATGAGGTAGTTAATTTTATAAGAACACGTTTAGTTCAATCGAAATTCGGAACAAGACTAGAACAAGATACATTGGATCCTGAAGAAATTTGTGAAGAACTTATGAAACATTGTCTTGCACCAGATGCTTTAATGGGTACTGGTTGTGATAATATGACAGTTGTTCTTGTATGTTTTCTTCATGGAAAACCATATTCTCATTTGATTTCACGCTGCAAAGAATCCATTAGTACAAATTCTTAGTCACTTAAATTATTATTTTATGTGTCCATTATTTTTAAAAATTCTTTATATTTAATTTTACATCATAATGAAATAGTATTTCATCATCATATTTCATCAAAAATTATAAAATTTACTAAGATTTTTTTATGAACTCTTATTATTTTAAGTTTTATGAACACAAATTTTTTTAAGAAATGATCGATCTCTAACAACAGTATTTTTTTCATCATATAATTATCATGACATCTTATTTATAATTTCAAAAAGCAAATTACAAAAAGAAACTGAATTACAAGTTTTTATTTACAATTTCAAACAATGGACAAGCAATGTCCAAATATAGGTTTAGTAACAACTTTAGTAAAATGCAGTAAGTTTTCATTCAAAGTCCATAGCGGTCTTGTAACGAAGAAACAGCCGCATTGGCAAGAGAACTTAATCTTCCTGCAACTTTATATACTCCTTGACGTACACTTTCTCTAACATCATCTAAATCGACATCGGCTCTTCCACCACTAAGACGCATTGATAAAGAAGCAGTGGGAGATGTTGCTGTAGAATTTCCTGTGCCAAAATAATCAGCTGATGAAATACTAGAAGAACCTTCAAAACGTCGCAAATTACTTTTACGTTCCCACTGTAATTAAAATATCAAATTTTATTTCAAATAGAAAAATAAAATATAAAAATAATATTGATATAATATAAGAACTCACAGAATCATCATCTTTGCTGTCTTGAAAATACTGATCTGAACTAATAGCCTTGGCACTACCAAATTTTTTTTGTGCTTCTCCTTCTACCGTTATTTTATTATCGGTTTTACCAATATTTACTTTGTTTGATGGAACTATTCGTTTTGGTGGTTCTGGCTCTGCAATCACAATAACTTCTTCATTGCGAGATTTATTGTTCGTATTGCTACTGTATGGGGTTGATAAGGCCGCATAAAATTCATCTAAACTAATAAAAAGATCTCGTTCAATATCGATATCTCTTGGTCTTGGTTCAGAAGCAGTTATAGTCTTTGATGATGTTTCCTGTGTTATTGTTCTCATATCACCAAGTGCAGAATGACTTGCACCACTGTAAATTATATACATTTTAATACATTGTATTGTGTTTTTATAGTATATTCATAACTGTTCGTGCAGTATTATTAAATAAAATTATAATTCTTCTTAAATATATACAACATATTTCAAAAATATTGTTGAATGTCCATAAATTGGAAATTCCTGAAATAATTTCAAATTTTTCTTTGCAAAAATTTTCTTTACGGTTTTGTTTTTTAACAAATTATTAACGAAAAACATTAATCAATTACGAAGCACGTAGCCTAGTCGAATTACGATAGTAGCATTAATTATATATTGCCGATCGAGCATGAAAAAGTCTAAAACATATCTCGAAGAAAATATGTTGAATATAACAAGTATTTTTTTATCGATAAAAAATTACATCTAATTATATTATGAACAATAAATAAATATAATATTTAATACACTTCGAGATATTATTATATTACTTGAATATTTTCATATTCGATCGGTACGTAACTAATGCTATTGCTGCGGCTCGATTAAGCTATGTGCTTCGTGATTGTTTTTTATTGATATCTTGTTAACAAAACCGTAACGAAAGTTTTTATAAAAGAAAATATTGTTTAAAATTATTTCAAGAATTTTCAATTTATGGATATTTTAACATTTTTGAAATATTTTTTTCCTGTATATATTCACACATATATGTAATATTTCATATAAATATATGCAATTAAATAAAGAAATTTATAAATAAGATACAAACATTACCTTCTTGAATTAAATCCCATACCAAGACGTTCTGCTTGTGTTGCTTTGGAAGGATCTAATTGTTTCATTTTCTGTTCCATTTTTTTAGCTTGTTCATTTAAATTCTTTTCATAACGATAGGCAAGGCGTGTAGCAAATTCTTCTTGTTCTTTTTTTATATTTTCTTGATTATCCTTTTCCTGTGGTTCTTTAGTAGCTTCGGCAACACTTTTTTCTAATTCATCAAAATTTGTTTTAACTCTTTGAGCACCTAATCCACCAGCTTTTTTCCCAAACTATTATAGAAGTATAAAAATTACTAATATTTTTTTTAATATATTAATTAAATTAATTGTAATCAATATAATTTCTAATTGTATTAGTATTAAAAAAATTAAAAAATGATTTATATAATTAATTACCAAATTACATTAAAAATATAATACAAATAAAAGATTAATTGTATGCATGATACATACGCCACTTCGTTTATTCTGAATTTTTCTGACACCTATGGTAGATTTCCTCTCAGATATCAAATTTGAGGTAGAATCAGATAATTTAACAGTAGGTCCTAAGGAATTAACAGCACTTTCTAAGCAATCTTTTTGATTATTTTTGTTCTCATTGTTTAATATAGAATTAGAAACTGAATTTTCTTCAGTATTCATTGAAGATTTATTATATGCTTCAGTATTTTCATGTTCCTTAAAAAAATCAATTTCATCTTGTTCTTCAGACATTAATGTTGGACCTTCATCCAAATGCAACTACAATAAAATATAATTTTTGAGAACACAAATCTTGAAAAAAAATTTTTTAGATTTAATTCTTTTTGTAATGTTATACTTTATGCAAGATACACATATATGAATAAGTTAGTTATTAATAAAAATAGTCTAAAACAATTCATCAGTGTGAATAAAACAGAACATACAATGATGTATAAATAATTTTGAAAAAAATTGTGCTATTGACAATTGAAAGTAAAAATAATCATGTATCAACTTTTATAAAACTATTTTTTAAAATAAAATGTTAAGCAAGTTTAGTTTGATAATGTTTTTGTGAAAGTAGTTTTACAGCTCACCATTGTCTTATTTTTTGTTGAAGGAAGAATAACCTATAATTATCACATATTTGTAATTATAAAATGATTAACTAAAATGTATGTTCTGTATAGTGGAAATATATATAAACAATATAAATTTTACCTTTGTTCCATAGCGTCGCATTGCTTGAACAGATGCTTGTGCCAATTTTTCTCTATACTGCATAGCAGCACGTGAATTATATTTTTGCTGAGCATCAGTTGTTGAACAATTGTGTTGTGCAAAATATTTTTTCTGTAAATATAATAAAAATCTATTTAAAATCAATTATTATCAAATGATTTCAAATGATTTAATAAAATAAAAATAAACTAATTATAGTGATAATTTTGAATCTTATTAATATGAACACCAACAGCATTTGCATTTCCACCCAATTGCATGTTTCTCAATTGTAACCAAGTCCAATTTGTATCAAGTTGAGTAGATCGAACAAATGTTAAATGAACTCCTAATCCTCGATGAACTGCAGAGCAATCGATACATAGGAAAACACCATAAGTTACACTGGACCATGCTGGATTTTTTGCATTGCAATCGAAACATGTCTGAAAAAATCATAATATTATATCAATATAATAATAATATATATATTATTATATATAATTATATATAATATATATATGATTATTCAATTATAAATTATAAATTTCATTAACGATTATTAAATTCTTTTTAAAAATTAAAAAATTTTATTAATATTTTTAATAAATAAATTGACATAAAATATATATGAAATATGTTTGTCATTATAAAATTCTAGGAAAATTACAGGTTGGGAATTAAAAATATGACATTATGTTTTATAATTATTGTCAAGTCTATTATTGTATAGTTTTGTACAGTTTCATATTTAACATCATAAAATAAAATAATAAATGAAGAAACAAACCTTATTTGTCGGAATAGCTCGTAATCGTTTAAAAATCTCTTCAATATCACTTTTACCAGGTGCTGGATCTGCCATTTTTGACGTGTTGTCAATGGCCTCGCAAAGTATTCTGGGACGCGTGGCGATGGTAAGGATATTACATTTAGAGGTCGCTTATTTGCAATTTAAAGTTAATTTAAGTTTAAAACAAATATTGATAATATTTAAAATTCAACTGAATATTGTAACTTAGATAGTTGCTAATTATTTTTATACATTTAATATATAATATATATAATAGAGAAAGAAAAAGAAAAAGAGAACGATATATAATAAAATTTTAATTTTTTTATATTTTTATATATTTAATTTATATTTTTTATATATAATATATATTTTATATATATATATAATTTAATAATAAATTTATATTTGTATTTTTAGTTTTTATTATATATACTGTTTTAAAAATATTATTAATATTAAAAATTTACAAAATTTTTTTTACATGAAAAAAATATAAAAATTCATATATTGGTAAACTTTCTTTTTAAATTTTCTTTTAATAATAAATTTATATTCTATTTTAGAAATATTATTGTAACTATATTATTGTAAAACAATATTGAAAATTTATTATAAATTTTCTTTACATGTAATAAAAATAAGGAAATTAGAAATTATATGAGTAATTTCAAGTATTATATAATTATCAAGACTTTTTTTTATCATTTGATACATCAGATCGTTGTCCAGTACTTGGAGAATCACTTACATTTACTTCTTCTTCTTCTACTTCCAAATTATTTAACCTATAACCATTAATATTATAATGCTATATATAAAAATTAATATTTATATAAATAACTTACTCATCTTGTTCAAGATTATATAGCATTTGGAAACCAGCATCAAGACTAGGAGGAAAACCCATATCAGGATCTAACAATTGAAGAGTTGGAACTTCTCGATAAACATTACCAAATTCATCAAGTTCTTCAAATTGCAATTTATTAGCTGCTTCATCTAAAACAATCCTATAAATTGAATAAATATTAAAAATAATTTTTTTATTCAGGAATATAGCATATATATCTATTTCATCACAATTAAATACTTAGAACTATAAGCATTAAGTTCAAGTTGTCTCTGTTTTTCCATCATTACTTCAACTTTCTTTTTCATATTTTCTTCAAATTTTAATATATATTCTTGATAGTAGTCATGAAGAGCACATATACCACCAATTCCTGTTTCTAATAAAACTCTTTCTAACATATCCTATACAAGAAAATAAAATATTTAAAAAATTTTTTATTTTTCATAAAAAATAAAATAATAGAGTAATATGAAATGAAAATAAATGATTATTAATTAATTAATTTTATATTACTGGAAATCCATGATCTTTTTGTTCATATGCTGCTTTCATTAAAAGCGTCATTCTTCTTAAAAAATGATCAGCAATATCTGTAAGTGTTTCTATAGCTATGTTTGAAGATTTCTCAAATCCAATATGTGCTAAAAGAATAATAACTGCATGCTTCAATATATAACGAGATGTTTCTGATGTAAGATAATGTATTGTAGAAACTTCTTTAAATACACTTCTAAAAAAAATTGTATTAACTTTTTATTGAATTTCATATGTTTATATGTTTTTTATATTTATATATTTTAATACCTTTCTTTTTGTATTGGTAAATTATGAAATGAATTTTGTATTTCTTTTTCTTCTTGTAAATCTTGTGTTTCAATTGTTGTCATATTTCCTAATACCATTCCTTCTTCCTATAGTTAATGCAAATATTAATATACAAAGACAAAATCTATATATATATTTTATTTTAAATTATTACCATTATTCTTAATTGTTGATGAAGATTTATAGTATTTAATACATGAAGATTTCCCATAGGTAATCTATAAATAAAAAAAAAATTATATATCCTAAATATAAAATTTATTTTTTAATTATGAATAACTTTACTGAATATATTCAGATTGTCTGTCTACTTGGAAATCACAATCAGGATTATTTGATTCCTCCATAACTTGTCTCCAAACATTTTCTATAATATCTGGAGTTATTACTTCTTGTTTCAGAGTTTCTCTTGCAGGTAATTCTCCCCATAAAGAACCAGTTCCACTATTTTTAGTAGACTTCATTGTAAAAACTAATATAAAATATATTGATTTTTATAATTTTCTTTTTATCATTTATCATATTTTAAATATATTATAATAATATTAATATATTTATATATATTAAATATAATATATTTAAATATTTAATTTTTATATTTTTTATTATATATTATATTATATTTTTATTAATATATTATATTATATATTAAGTATAAATTATATAAAAATTTATAAATTTATAATATATATAATAATATATAATATTATAATAAATTTATGTATAAAAATTTAATTAAAATTATATTTTTGAAAAAATTATTGTCATATATTTTTTGAAAATTTATTTAATAGCATTAATAATTTTGTTGAAAATAATTTTTTACATTATAAATTAAATTTAAAATAAAAAAATTTGTACTTGTAAAAGTTTTCAAATTTTAGTATTTTCATATATAAAATACATAAAGTAATGTACATATTGTTTTTTCTATTAAAAAACCCGCGCTCATATATGTATATAGCTTATGCGCTATGACACTATAGAGAAGACATTTCATTTTGATTAAAAACTCGTAATGAAACAACTATTCAGTTTAATATAAGAATTTCGAATTTATCTATCACTATTTACTTTTTTAAAAATGATCTTAAAAATTATCTTTTCTGAGGTATTTAATAAGATAAATAAAGATAAACTTCAATTAGTTTGCATCTCACTTAATTTATGTACTAATACTTGTTAGGTTACTATTTGTTAGGTTAGAATCATATTATAGTTGAGCGCCATAGTTTTATTTCATTGCATTGATTAATCGAAATATTTAAGAATTTCGATATATTTTCGATATATTTAAGAATCGATATTATTTCAAGTATGTAATAATGAAATAAATAAACTATATCATAAATAATTTTTATATTCTCCAATTAATTAAATAAATAATAACTAAGTTTTAAATATGTTTTATAGTATATTTTTTATCTATTCATTTATATATATTATATATATTAGCCAATATTAGCAACCTGATATGAATATATTTTATTTTGATAATAACAATAAGATATTTTAAAGTTATATCCAAAAATTATAATCAATTATTAATAAAAATTTACGATTTGTTAAATATCGATTTTCATTATCATTTGCGCATGCACAATATATCACAATATATGATGTACTTTCAATTACATTTTTTTTAAATGTTCTCTCAATAGATTAGAAATTATCTAAATATTAGAAAAATATGTATTATATTTTAAACATATATAATTATTTTTAAAGTATAATTTGTTATAATACACACACAATGGAAAGCGCGGCAGCTTCAATATTAAAACGAGCAGTAGAAATGGATAGCAATAAACAGTATACAATGGCTTTAGTATTATATCAAGAAGGTATACAAATATTACTTGATTCCAAAAAAGGTAATATTATACATATATTTTATTAATAATTTTTTTTAAAATTATAAAACTTTTTTTAATTAAGTAACATATCTTTATTTTTATTTTAATTTATTTAAAATAAAAAATCATTAAATTATTATTTCAATTTATCTATAATGTACTAATTTATCTATAATTAATTATTCATTATTATAAGGTTATGAATTTATTATGAAATTAGTAATATTATAGAAACAACGGATCCAGCTAAGCAAAAGTATTTTACTATCAAGGCATCAGAATATTTGGATAGAGCAGAAAAAATAAAAATTTTAATTGAAAAGGAAAAGGCAACTGGTACATACAGAGAATTAATTAAGATTGAAACTGATAGCATAGGACATGGCTATGGTACTGTTTTTGGAAGATTTTTAGATGCAACAGTTACATATATTAATATTGAAGATCCTTATATAAGAGCATTTCATCAGGTATTACTTAATTTTAATGTAGTAATTTAATTTTAATATTAATATCTTAAATTAATTATATTTTATTTCTAGTGTCAAAATTTTGTAAGATTATGTGAATTAGCTGTGAGAAAATGTCATGCATTATCTAAAATATCTTTAGTTACAACTCTTGATCCAGATGATAAGAAAAATCAAATAGCAAGATTAAATGAATTGAAACAGAGTTTATCATCTCATCTTATTTCTTTTGAATTTAAATTTTCTGATACTTTACATGATAGACAAATTATGTAAGAACATAATCTTAGTTAAATATGATATTATTTATTGTTATATTTTTTTCTTATTATAAATTGCTATATTTTTTTCTTATTTCATATATGATTTTATTTTAGCCTTAGCAATGGCTGGATAATTAAAATCGGCCGTGGATTGGATTATTTTAAACCACCTAATGGAAAATTTGTATTAGGTGCTTGTGATCTTGAACTAAGACCTTGTTCAGAAACAACTATAGATATATTTCATAAAAGTCAAGTAAATAATGATTAAAAAGTGATTTAAATTGTAAATTAAATAATAATATTTTATAATAATGATAAATAATTAAAAATGAAAAAATTAATTTTATATATTCATTATATTTAATTGAATTTATATAATTTTTATAGAACTATTATATAATTTTTATAGAACTTGACTTGCATTGCACAGAATTATAATTTATATTATAAGTATCTGAATATTAAGAAAGAGAATATACTATTTTTAACAGTATTTTTTATAATATTTTTTATATTTATGAATCAAGATTTTTAACATAATGTATATATTATGTCATTTAAATATATAAAGATATATAAAAGATATATTTAATAGATATATTTTTAGATATATCCAATAGATTTATTTTTTTTTATTATACAAAAGTATAAATATAAAATCTCGTTTATCTCATAAAATAAGATACGATATGTACAGCTTCAATATTTTATATTAATCTTAATTCAAAGTACTAGAATCACTGGCCTTTGCAATATCAATTTGTTTTGCAGCTTTCCTACATGCCTTTCTTAAGGATTTTGTATATTTTAATAATCCAGCTTCGATTTGATTTTCATCTTCAGTCAAAAGATCTTCAGCTCTGTATGATGGAAGACAATCTGCACCTCCGACAGCAACTACTTGTCTTGCAATTTCTGGATCTACACAGAGTCTTATAAGTGCTGCGGCGGCAGTAATTTCTAATCGTCTATATGCATCCTCTAAGCCAGGAGGTCGCATTCTAAGAAAAGAACTAATGCAATAGAGGCACGGACTTTTGCTAAATATATTCGAGCTTCAGGTATACGCGCTAGCTCACTAATAAGAGCTGCTACTTGTTCCATTAACCAAACATTTCTTCCAGCTGACTTTTTCACAGTTTTTAATAATTTTTTAACTGTTTCTTGTTCTAATATTACAAGAGCATATTTTTTGGATTTGGACAAGTGATTGAATGCAGCTGCAACTAGCAACAAGGTCTGCCCACAATTAGTATTTTCGACTAGACAATTTAAGGATGGTATTAAATCTTTTGCAAAAGATTCTAAATAAGGTAAACCTACACCATTAACCCAAGGTGCAGTAATTTGTACAAGTAATGCTGTTGCTTCCATTTTTTCTTTCTCAGTTGTATTATCTGCGACTAATAGATCTGTCAATATTTCTGGACCACCATCTTTAACAAATTGGTTTATTGCCATAGCGGAACTACATACACTTGCCAATGCTCGTAAAGAAGCTGCGACGAAATCTATTGATGTTCTTCCAGTAGTGATTACAGATGTCAAAAGTGCTCTAATACCTAAACATCTTGTAATACTGCTTCCTGCTCGAGGTCCTGCTAAACCTAAAGCAGTTAAAGCTGCTAGAGCACCTCTAGTTAATGTAGTATCATCTTTCGGTGCTTCTTCCAATCCTCTGACTATTCTCTATAACATGATAATTATATATATAAATTAATTTATAACATATTTTAGTATCGTATTTTTTTAATGTATAATATATTTTTTGTTATTAATTATTTCACAATATTATACAATATAAAATCTTACTTCGATATAAAAATCTAAGCGAGTATTTATAGCACTATCAACAAAATTCTTCATATTTTCTAATTGTGATAATATTTCTTTTAAACTGTTTTGATGAATTCTATGCGGGAATGGTGCACCCAATTCCGAAAGCAAGGAGAAAATCTCATCTTCTATGGCACGTAGAAGTTGTTGTTCTGATCTATCACTTTCTAAATGTGATACTTTGCTATAAAAAATAAAATGATTTATTAATATCGTTTATGTTATTCTTTCTATATTCAATATTATTTCTGTAACTTCATCAATTTTAAAACTTATATGTAAAATTTTTAATTATTCTATAAATATACTTACTCAAAAATATATTGATAATGTTGATCAAATTGTTCAGCTCTAATAAGTAATTTATTTGCAGCTGCAGTAGCTAAAGATGATAAATTCTTTAAATCAATTATTTCACCTTTTTCATCCAAAAATTCGCGATATTTTCGTCGTGGTAAAGCTTTGCTCTGAAGAGTATTGTTACATTCATTATCTGTTTTCATTGCAAGATCACTCAACCATGTTCTTATTGATGAGGATTGTCTATAATTTCTGGAATGTAACACAGATTTATAAGCTGGTTCCGTTTCTGAAAAGTTAATTGCTATCGATAAATTTGCGTTTTTTGGTGTAGCCACATCTTCCGGTGGTTCAGTTGCATATAAGAAATCACCGAGACATTCATCTTCCAAGGAAACAGAAGAAGGAATTTTTGACGTATCTACTTGATTATCTTCTGTTCTGAAAAAATTTAACATAAAATTTAATTAATAAAATGAAGCCAAAATAAAAAATATAATATTGATAATATTTTTTGATATCAATGATTAATAATATAAAATTTATGAAAGAAAAATCGATTCGTATAAATATAGTGAAATTTCACAAGTATAAAATTGTTTTTTTTTAAACATATGTTATTTAGATTAAAGAGAAAAAAATTTTTTTTCTATTTGACACTTTATTTATGTCATAGATTTATATTTCTCTATTTAATAATAAAAATAATTTAATTCATTAAGTATGTTTCTCTATTTTAAAAATATTTAAACAATTTACTTAAATTGTCTCAAAAATGAAAAGATGACGAGTATACTCATCATAATATAAAAAATTATCATTTCTCTATATACTCGTCATACATAGCCAATAGATTAAAGAACAATATCAATTTGATTTTTATATAAGTCTGTATCTTCGATTTCGACTTCTGTGATTTTTACATGTACTATAAATGTATTCATTTAGTATATTATATAAGAAATAAAATTTTTTTCAACTTTTAAAATAATGCGCTTACTTTTTAATATTTTTAACACTGATCGAATTTCATCACTTTTAATAACAGTTTCTATAATATTAAAAAATATGAATATAATATAATATTCTTCATTTTTCATTTCTTTTTATTTATTTTCTTTTTCACATTATATAGATATTTTTACATTATTTTATTATATTTATTCTTTCTTCAATAAATTGAATAGATTTATATATGAATAAATATTCAAAATTTTAAATTTTTATTAAAAAAAATTTCTGTTATAAAAAAATTAAAAAATTGTATATTTAATACTTGCAATATTTTTTCAATTCATGCCGTAATTATTTCAATATTAAATCAAATATTAAATATTTTTCTATTCAAACAAAATCAATTTTTCGACAAATATTATATAGATCAAATTATATATCGTGGATATCAATATTTTATATAGATCAAAGAATTTGTAAAAAATCCGTATTTTAATAACAAACTTTTCCTTATGCTACTTTAAAATAAAAAATATTATTCTTTTTTTTAATAAAAATTTAATTTCCAAGCGCATCATATAATGAATTTATCTTTAAAATCATACTATTGATTTAAATAGAAAAATCTGCAATAATTCAATTATATCAAATAATTCATATCATAACAAAATTTTTTTTTATTTTATTTCAATAGTAAAAGAATTCATTTCCTTTTAACTCAAAAATATTAAATTTCTAACAAATACTATGGATCACATTTAGATTTAGATCACAAATAGATTTCATAGAACATAGATTTCATATAGAATCTACGGTACCTTAATCGTGCCATAACAAGAGTTTCGACTACTGTCGCGACATAATTAAGATCTAACCACTATCCAATTTGCACAACAAGGTGTACAAATTCCGTCTTGGAAACAATCGAAGATTGACAGAAAAACGGATATACTATAAGCGAAAAGCTGACTAAGCAGTCAGCTCCGGAACTAGAATCGTTTTCTCATGGACGATGATGACTAATCCCATTTTCTTTGACTAAGCTGTACGCCATCACCTGCACACGATCTACGATGGCTGGAATTCTTCGTACATTTGCTGTCGCATCAGGATATACCGGGACCGTGGTTGACTCAAACCGCGTCGTTCTTTCATTTAAGTATTCCTCGTATGGCACGTTGCATTGAATCACGTACTGGCGCGCGTATATCTATAGGGTGTCGAAAGAAATGCGTCCCATAGCCTTGGTAGATTTATTATATTACGTAATAAAATTCATTCAAGAACCAGTAAAGATTAAAATATTTAGTGAACATTCAATGAGGATTTAAAAATTTTTGAATAATTTGGAGATATTTCTTAATTTTTTTTGCATTTAGATTTGTAAAAAGTTGAATAAATATTGTCATTATTTTTTTCTTGACAAATATTTAAAAAATAAAAAAATATTAATCAAATTATAAAATAATATTTTAAATGAATAATATGATCTTTCAATAACAAATCTTATTTTAATTAATGTTATTTTTGATAAATGTGATTTTTTATATTTTTTATATTTATATTTTTAATGATCTTGAATTTTATAATTCTTTATTTATGTGTTAATCTTATAAGAATAAACATTACAAAACAGGTATGTAAATTGATCGTCCTTTTCTACAATGTTTCCTGCTAATTAACACAATCTCTATAAGTTGCTTGGAATACTAGATTAAACTACACAATGATTGGGTTTAATTTGCATTGAAGATATTTCAATGTAAATTAATCGATGTTAATTGATGATATGTCATAGTATTTTCCCATTTGTCCTATTTATTATTTATTATTATTATTAATTTTAAGGGATTAGCAGTCTCATGATATATCATTACATATATTTATTAATTTTTTCTTTGACTTTTTTAAATATTAATCATAAATTCTTTCAAACTATTAATGATGATTTGAAAATTATATTTTGGAAAAATGTAAAATAAAATAAAAATGTAATATAACTTTAAGAAGTAAAAGTTTCAATGTGTCATTTTGTCTATTCTTACCCTAAAAAAAAAAGAAATTAAAAATTTAGTTAAATAATTAAAAAAGAATGTTATAATACAAATATAATAAATTAATTCCTTTTGTAATATTCTTTCTATTTCAATAAATATAACATTAATCGCTTTTTTTTATAGCATATTTTTTTTTCCTTTATACGTGTATAGAATCAAAACAATCATTGCACAAAAATTCTCTTCATTAAATTTCCTGTCATAAATCAAACGTGTCGTTTTCGTTATGACGCATTTTGTATAATGAGAATTTAATATTCCCGGCGATGAGTTGCGCTACTTCCAATGCATCAGATCTAAGTAAGTACATATATGCAGACATACGATGTACCATTATATAGGGATAAATGAGAGTTTACGAAACAACCAGAAGAATAACATGGGAAGTGCCTTACGTGTTACATTCCTATCGCTTGGCTCACCCAAGGGACATTTATCGTGACAATTCATGTTCTCAAAACATACATCCTTCTCACTTTATCAATTCACAGAAGGCGCGGACTTTCAGAGATAACGCCTTTTGATATGAAGTCCCTTAATTTTATAGCATTATTGATCAAACATACTATAAAGATATTTTAAGTTTGAAATGATTATAGCGATTAAAATAGTAAAATTGATAATTTATATAATATTATTTTATCTCATTTTTTTCATGATATTTGCCATTACACTATAATGTAAATTGACTATAAAATGTACTTTCGTAATATTTAAACTAATAGTATAATATATAACATTAAATATATAACATTATAATATGTAAATATAGATAATGTACAAATAATAATTCTTATTTTTCATCAAATTTATTTTAAATTATCTTAAAAAATTTTAAACTTAAAATAATACTTAAATTTAAAATAATTAAAATATTTTAACTATCTTAAATAACTTAATATATCATATAGATAATAAATTATTATAATATTAAATCAGTCTATATTGTATCTAATCTTAATTGTATGATATTTTTTTTAGTTGCAAATTGTGACTACGTGATATCTAATCGAATTTTTTTAAAATTTAAATTACCTTTGTATTCCTTTTTCTTCATGTACATTGAAGATCATTGTATTTCGAGGTAAAGTTCTGGAATTCTTAGGCGTAGAAGTATATGTTGGATTTGGAATAGTTTCATCTTCTAACCAAACAACACCACTTCTTGGATGTATTTTATGTTGATCTTTAATTCGCTTCCGTCTTCTTCGACGTCTTGGTGTTTCGTTCTCATAGAGTTCAGAACAGTTCGATCGTTCGGAATCAGAAAAACCAGAATCCAAGCTTCGAAGATCTTGACTCAAAGGACTGCATGATCTATTTACCAAATCAATATTATTCTCATCTTCTTTATTTTTAATCTTTATATCCATCATAGCTCTAAATATTAAAAAAAAATGATTTTTTATTTTATATATAAGTTCATATAATTTTATATATAAAGAAAAATATTTATGTGACAAATTTATCAAAAATCAACATGATGTATTTTCTTAAGATTTTTTATTAGAATTAAAAAATAATAATAATTTATTTTGTTGAG